AGGAAGGGAGGGAGGGAGGGAGAGAGGGAGGGAGAGAGAGAGGACAAATGGGACAAAATTTTAATAACTGGTGAATTTGAGTAAGGTGTATATGGAGAATCTTTGTATCATTCTTACAACCTCTTCTGTAATCTTGAAATTTTTCCAGATAAAAAGTTTAAACAAACTGTCCAAACCAAGAGCCTCCTGAAGCTGGGGAATTTGATCCTGCTCTTTTCCTCCAGGGCTGGCCCAGGGCAGACCCTCGGTCCGTGTCCTGGATCTTCAGGGCAAAATTAGGGAAACAGGTGGCGACCGGAAAGACTGAAGCCCGCCGCTTGGTGACATTCCTCGGCCCCCGACATTTTCTGATCTGACAGCTGGGGCGGCCCCTGGAGTTACCCGCTGGAGTGAGTGACTCACCCGATGGGCTCCCCGGGCGGAGGGCGAGCCCGCCCCGCACGGAGGGCTTCGGCCAGCAGGTGCCGCTGTTGAGCCAGTTCTGGCAGCGCTTGGCCGAGGCTCCCCCTGGGACCTGGAACTGGTCTGTCAGTGGGGTCTCTTCCAGAAACTGGCCCACCGGGGTCTGAAAGCAGCCTCGCTCAACCTTGCCTGGGTCTAGCTTCCCATTCCCAGGCCCTCTGTTTCCCCGCGCGCCCTCCCCCACCTTGGCTCCCCCAAGGCAAATCCCAAGCATGACTCCTGGTGGAGGAGGGGACAGGATAAGCAGAGGAAGAGGCTTCAGTTATTGACCCTGGAGTCTGAGTAGCAAATTAATCCCCCCCTTTTCTCTGCCCCATCTCCTCCTCCGCGTCTCATCCCCCCTCCCTTTCTTCTCCCTCCTCCTCCTCCTTTCTTCCTGTTCTTTCTCCTCTTGAGCAGCACCATGCTTTCAAAACAAACACACACCTTAGCCCATCCCAAGCCTGCCTGGGCCTTTCTCCAATCTGTTGCTCCCAGAGTCCAGCCCCTTCTGCCTGGTCCAGGGATCAGGATGGAGATGGGGGAGGAGGTGACAATGTGTTGAGGGGGGTGGGGAGATTCCCTGTGATGGTATTTTTTCCTGTGTAGGAAGGAGTTGTTCTCACAGCCTCTCTGAAGCAGAGTGGGGCTCTGGTGAGGGTGGGGTGGACCTCCCTCCCTGAGATGGTGGAGCTGGTCTCCTGGCCCTCCAGACTCAGGATGAAAGGGGCCTACAGAGGTCACTTTGTCCATCCCCCTGGCTCCAGGAAGGGCCATAACTGTATGACAGTCTCCCAGTCCTATATGTTCACTAATTCCTTCAACAACCCTTCACTGAGTACCAGCTCTGTGCCAGGTACCAGAAGCTTTACCTAATGCCAGCTCCTTAAATCCTCACTAGGACCTCACTTGGAGATGGATGCTATTACTCTGCGTTGACTTATCCAAAGATCCAGTTCAACCCAGTGCTCCTCTGTGACTCATGACTCACCCAATGGGGCTGGTCTCATTCAGCTTTGAGGCCACCACTGTGCCTCACAGAATGTCTCAGCTACTGCATTCCAATGATTTGCCTTCATGGGTCCCCACGTCTACCACACTGGGCTCCAGACCACAAACCACTGGTGACAGTGAAGGCTTCACTATGTGGCCTTGCGATAGTTTCTTAACTTCCTCAAGTTCAATTTTCTCATCTGTAAAATGGCAATACGCTCCTTGCGGGTTTGACATAATGGTAAAATAAGAAACACATATCTGCTTAGCACAGTAAATTTAACTTAAAAAAGAGAAGCCCATCCTTACCGCCTCTTTAAGTGAAAAAAAGAATATAAAACCAAGAGTTGGCCAGGGATGTGGAGCAAAGGAACTCTCATACTCAGTTGGTAGAAGTGGAAAACCATTGAGCAATTTCTCTTAAAGCTGAATATATGCATACAGTGTGATCCAGCAATGTCATATATATACAGGGGTGCCAAAAAAATGTATACAAGTGGACACTTTGGTCAACGTTGCTCAAGCAGTAGTTCACCGTAATCAGAAGTGTCTGGAGGCTGATGGTAACCACTTTGAGCACCTCTTGTAATTGCAGAAGTCAAACGTGACTTGTATTCATCTTTTGTTATCGTTATATATTAAGCATTATAATTTTAATACAATTTTCCTTTCTTAAAATGTGTATACATTTTTTTGGCACCTTCTGTATATATCTCCAAGAGAAACACGTGCATATGTGCACCAAGAGCCATATAAAATAATTTCCATAGCAGCACTAATTATAATAACCCAAAACTGGAAACATCCCAAAAGTCCAGCAGCAGCAGAATGAATTAATGCATTTTAGTATATTTGTGCAATGGAATACTATGCTGCAATGAAAAAGAATGGACCATTACTGCGAGCCTTGGGGAATTCTGGGGTACTGGAAGTGTTCTGTTTCTTTACTGGGTGTGGTTACACAGTTGTGCTGACTGTGAAAATTCATTAAGCTGTACACTTATGATTTATGCCCTTGTTTGTATAAATGTTACACTTCAGTTAAAAGTTTGCACTAATATAAAAAAGACAAATAAATTGAGCTACTTGTATCACATAAGTAAATCCTAAAACGTTGTTGAGTAAAGAGCAAGTTATTAAAAGATTTGGGTCCTATTGTTCATAGGAATTTTAAAAGTACCTAACACAACATTTGTTTAAGTGTACATACCTGGGTAGTACAAATAACAGACAAACACCAAATGCAGAACAGAGGTTTTCATTTTAGTGGGAGAGAGGGGACGGAGGTGTATGTACAAGGGACTTTGAATGTTTTTCTAGCTTTATTTCTTAAGCCAGGTGGTTTTTATCACAGGTGTTCATTTTATTATTCTGTATATTTTATGCTTTTCTGGTTGCCTGACATATTTCATATTTAAAAGTACTCCTCAGCATTACAAAACAAAAATGGGAGAAGGGGTGGAAATTGGATCTTTTATCTTTGTCTTTCCAGCGCCAACTGAATGGGTGGTACTCAACAAATGTTTGGTGAATAAAAGACCTCTCGGCTAGTGAAACCAGCAGAGCCAGGGTTCAATGTCAGGTCTTCCCACACCAAGTCCCAAGTCTAGGGCATGCCTACCACACTGTTCCCCAGCCTGCCAAGGTGGGGATGGCTGGGGAAAGGCAGCAGTCATGGAGTCCCCAGCCTCACTCAGCACTCTCTCTATCTGAACTGAATTACAGGGCACGGAGAAGGAACAAAACAACTTCATTGATCAGAACTCTGCAAATTCAGAATGTGGTGCCCTAAATTTCTATGAATCCTGCTGCCAAAATCTTTTAATAATTTGCTCTTTATCCAAAACCTTTTAAGAATGTACCTATATGATAGCTCTCAATTCATTTGTCTTTCTTATATTATTGCATTTGCCCTCTTCCCGGGAGAAAAAAGCCAAAGGCTCATTGAAACAGGATCGCCAGGGCCTATCTGACTGGTGCAAGAGAACAAACAGCCTTCAGTACATTAATTCTTTGCGTGCGAAGAGATGCCGCTAATTGTAGGCGCCTTTTATCTGTTTGTTAGGCCCCACGTGGAATGCAGCCTCTGAGAGAAGCACTTCTCACCACTCAAAACCCACCGAGACATGCTCAGCCCTGAGAGAGGCTTCTAGGAATGCAAAGGAGGGGCTGCCTCTGCGGCCATAAGCAGAGTTAGCCGATAATGAACACCCGGGAGGGGACGCGTTGGCTTTGAGGATTGTTTGTAAGGAAGAGAAATGGGTCCTGTTTCTGTGGGAGGCGGATTAATAGAGCCCAGAGTGTGAAGGGTTGTGAATAACGCTGGTGGTGGCTGCAGCTTTAAGGGGCCCCATCAGGTCATCATCGCACACTGCTCTGCATGGCAGATTTCTCACCCTTACGGATACACGTGGAAGCAAGGTGTCCGCTTGGCAACCCTGAGGAAGGTAGTGGTATACTGTACTGATGATTCTTTTCATAAACACTCTCGTTCAGACTTTCCATTCAGACTGTCCTCTTGCACCAGCACCCCCCACCCCCAGGCAGACTGAATTCAATTAAACAGTTATTCATTCCCTAATTTTACCAATTTAATATTAAATAAAACCCCATTTGGGCCAGCTACGATATTAGATGCTGGGGTGACCAAGATGACTGAGAGGGTCCCTACCTTGAGGATCTCAGAGTCAAGCTAACAAATAATTCTGACTCCATGTGATTAGGGCAATGATAGAGGGAAATACAGAAGTGAGCGCCC